TGTAGGAGGGGGTTCTAACTAGGAATGCAAAATCCTGTTTAATTAGTTAACTGGTTAAACATATTTAACTGGTTAAACAATTAAACAGGGGTAGATAGGGGAGTTGCTCCAGCCCATCACCTCCATGGATGGGGGCTGCTCCACTCACATTCCTAGTTTCAACATGGGGCAGGTGTTGGGATGCAGGAGAAGCTTCTGGGTAGAGTGTCTTCATGGGTGGGCCTTATCTTAGGCTGCTCCTGGTCAGAAGTGCAGTGGGCCTGTCCTGGCTCCATGCTGCTCCTGGAAATGGCTACTAAGTCCAGCTCCTAGACAGAGGGGCCAGAAGGTTCTGCACATGCCCATACCCATAGGCACCATGCTCGCTTTGAGTTTTTCGTTCCACTGGCTCCCAGGATATTTAGTGTGAAGTTTTAAGTAGTTTCACCCGAAACAAATAAGTACTAGAGCTGATAGGGATTATTTTTCCAAAGGAAAAGAATTTTGTTGAAAATCAGACCTTTTAAAATTTTATTTGGTTAAAAACAATCTGTAAATTTTGTTTTCTTTAATTTTTTGTGGTTTTTTTTATCCAAATGTCCAGGGCTTGACAAACTGTGGCAAAAGCCGCTTGCCAGCCCCACACTTGCATGCGCAAGAGCCACATTGTGCATGTGCGCGCTGCCGGTAAACGGGGCGCCGGGCTGAAATCTACTCGCCACGTTCGAGTAGATTCAATAGATTGTCGAGCCCTGCAAATGTCTATCAAAATTATTACTGAAATGTAATGACAAATATTATAAATTAAAACATTTCAAAAATTTGAATAATGTTGACAATAAAAAAAGTTGTGTGAAATATATTATGGAAAATTCAAAATTGGTCTGTCTTGAGCCCTGCAATATGGAAACCCTTTCAAAATTTAATTAAGTGTATTTCATGACTATATTCCGTGTGAGGCACTCACAGCGTTACAAATTGCAAACATCCACTCCCATTTAGGTAAAATGATGCAGCAAGGATCACCTTAAAGATATATTCCTGAAATCCACACTGTGGATGGTGGTGGGTTTTGAACTACAGTGCTTCCCATATTTTTGTTTTGATGAAGCACTTGAAAATTTAATTAAGTGTATTTCATGACTATATTCCGTGTGAGGCACTCACAGCGTTACAAATTGCAAACATCCACTCCCATTTAGGTAAAATGATGCAGCAAGGATCACCTTAAAGATATATTCCTGAAATCCACACTGTGGATGGTGGTGGGTTTTGAACTACAGTGCTTCCCATATTTTTGTTTTGATGAAGCACTTGAATATAGGCCCAATGGAAGAATGGCTTCCAAAACATACCACGTACCTCAG